TCGGTGCATTTTGGGGTAAGGGTTTCCGGTGAGGTGGCGTCTGTGAGGTGCTTTTTAGGATAGGTTTACCGAGAGGAGCTCCAAGAGCTTCTTTTTTTCTAGGTATCATGTCCATTGGTACCCGTGGTAAAAAGTTACACTGATGGGACATGCGTGTCTTGTGCGAACAAGGTACACGAGCATCTCCGAGACGCGGAAAGCAAAGCTTTTGGAACTCATCGTGGTGATCACTATCTATAAGAGGGATCTCATCTCACTGGAAAAGTCACATCCAAAGTTTTGCGGGCTTGAAAAGATGTGGTTGCGCTAAAAATCGACGAAGCAATGGCCATTTCTCGCTGCAAACAAGCACGTCTTTCAACGTGGCAGATGGCATCACCGGCCCCGCCCCACCCCACCCCACCTCACCCTACCCCCTTTATGCTATGTTTGACACTTCTGTTGCCTATGGTGTATGCTCCTCACATGTAATCTGTCATCGCTCGTCTGTCGCTCCTGCAGCGCAGGTGCACTCCGTGACTCAGTGCAGAAGCTTCTTTTCCATGTCATTGTCCGGGGCGTAAGCAGTACCTGGTTTAGCTGGGCGTGGATAAACTTATGATGCAGGATTTTGGCAGTTTGTGAAATGTGTTATTTTGAAAAACTGGCAGAGGATGTCGTGGAATTGAAACGGTTGTTCTTTGGACCCTATTGTGGTACGCCATCAGCCTTTTGGTTCTTGTTCTTTGCATAACTACCGCAATAATGAAAAGTACCAGCCCCGTATATTCGCCTTTATAGGTTCCAAGTTAGGACCAAAACTTTGCGAAACTGTTCTGCGCAAAACATTAACCCTTGCCGAGACCTGCAGTAAAGAAAAAGATATCAAAAGATGCGGGGAAATATGTCGGAACTTTAAACTCACTGAACCCAGAACCTACTTTTCAGTTAGCCCGGTCCCCGCAAACGCAATACCCATTCCAGCTTCTATCCACTTCCCCAGCCTGTAGCCTGTCTGCCGTGAGAGCAGTCGCTCCCCTCGCCCAGGCCCCTGTGCGGGCGCCGGGTCTGGCCGGAAGTGGCCGGTCCAGGTGACCCGCACTCCGGTGAGACGGGTCCGTCGGCCATCCCGAGGGCGGCGGCCTCAGAGACCGGCCCGCTCCGTCGCCGGCGTCCGCCAGGGGGCGGGCCGGCGCCGGGCCCGCCGGGACCCGCCCTAATGGAATGCGCAAACTTGCCCGCCTTTTCAGCCCAACTTCGTGTAAAAGTTGACTGTTGGCGGGCGATTTGGAGAGCAGCAAAGTGGCGCCGATCTGTGATTTAGTGGGCACGAAAGTGGCTGCGATCTGGTTACGTGCGTCGTCTCTGATTAGGAAGGTAATTTGTCGGCCCTCGGCGGAGCTTGTTTTTGCTCTAGATCTGGAGGCATTGTCGCAACTTCACTGCTGCAGAATAATTCGCTCGTGCTGGATTGCTTCTTGTGGTTTTCTGCTTGTCTGACGGTGCCAGGTCCGCCCTTTTGCCCCGTGGAAATTCGGCCTTGTCGTCTTCAAGGATATCGTTCCGACATGTTTACTGCGCTGTAAGGCCGTAATGCGACGCGGATCAGGGGACAGCGTGCCTGACGACCGACATTTGTACAGACACGAACGCTGAAAAAACATAGCTCTGGTATGTTACGAAAATTCCGTGGTATTGGCCAGAAGCCATGACTTCGTGCTTTTTTGTTCAGGTGTGCACGAAATCACTGTTAGGGACCATGGTAAGCCGAAACACATGACGTCATAACAGGGGTCGAAGATGGTCATTTGGGAGCTAAATGTATGCAACATGTCAAATGTGAGCAGTTTTTCCGTTTCGGGGCGGCATTTCGAAAGAAGGCGTGCCCTTGTTGCCTCCCTTATTTGTCATTTCTCCATATTGTCCTTTGCATAAACAGTCGAATAATACGTGAAAGTTTTTCAGTGTGTGATTTGTCTTGGACCAAGGCACAGTTACGTGCAATAGAAATTTAACAGATGGCTAAGGTTTAAAATCATAGCCACTTTGGAAGCGGAACACTTCGCTTTCTTCGATTAACCCTAGTGTCTGTAAAGGAAGTCCAGGTTCTGGTTGGCTTTGTTTTTATAACTTCGCTCTCCCCACTAATTCACTTTGTCCTCTCCGCTGGATGGAGTCGGCTGCATACGGCAGGATTTCGCGCATTCGGCAGCATTTTTGTCATCCAGTGGACCTCTGATGGAAGCCAGGGGAGATGAAAAGCAGGTCGGCGAGTGGCGAGCTCTGGAAAGCATCGCAGTGCTATGAACGCTCGGCGAGTGGCGAGCTCTGGAAAGCATCGTAGTGCTATGAACGCTCGGCGAGTGGCGGGCTCTGGAAAGCACCACAGTACTATGAACGGTCGGCGAGTGGCGGGCTCTGGAAAGCATCGCAGTGCTATGAACCCTCGGCGAGTGGCGAGCTCTGGAAAACATCGCAATACTATGAACGCTCGGCGAGTAGCGAGCTCTGGAAAGCATCGCAATACTATGAACGCTCGGCGAGTGGCGGGCTCTGGAACCACAGTACTATGAACGGTCGGCGAGTGGCGGGCTCTGGAAAGCATCGCAGTGCTATGAACCCTCGGCGAGTGGCGAGCTCTGGAAAACATCGCAATACTATGAACGCTCGGCGAGTAGCGAGCTCTGGAAAGCATCGCAATACTATGAACGCTCGGCGAGTGGCGAGCTCCGGAAAGCATCGCAATACTACGGACGCTCGGCGAGTGGCAAGCTCTGGAAAGCATCGTAATGCTATGGAACGATTCCGTTAGCCCGGTAAAGCCGCCGTGCAGTAGGGTCAGGTGGTCTTCAGATTATCCTGTGAAGTGAGCTCGTTTATGAGGCAGGAAGTTGTGTTTACCGAACTGTCAGACACAGGGTCTTATGCAGCTGCCCTTTCCCCATGTTCTAACATCATCAGGCGGGTGGATAATATCGGTTTTGCACCAGGCAGACAGGCAGTCTTGGGTAGTTTATCCTTGGTTTCTTGTCGGATCCACGGTTTTGAATTAACGTGCACCGGGGGCTTTACAATTTCCGCTTGTGTACAGGCTCGGTACTTCGATGGCCCGAAGTGGTCCCCACGGTTTTGCAACTGATTAAGTCATATTTTTATCCATTTTTGGAATTATGTGCTTGTCGCGATGCGTCCTACTCGGTCCAAATACCAGCAAAGGCAAGCTGATGCAAGAGTGTGATCAGGATACGTGATGCATTTGCCATAAGTGGCACGCCAGTCCGTATTACGATATTCATATTGTCTGGGATATCATGCTGACACTGGTAATGCCTAACACGTAATTGGCGTGGTCAGTGTGCCGTTCCACTTCGCGGCATTACCTCCCAACATCAGGCTTTGCCGCAAGTGGGTTTTTGTCATGTGTTGCCAGTTTTTCCCAGCAGGGGTTTGTGCCAGTCTGTTTTAATTGGTAACAGCTGGTTAGCCGGCTCCCGCCAAGCCTGTTTGACTGCGCAAATATAGCTGTGCTGTGCATGACATGTCCTGACATGTCCTGGCGCATCGCTCAGCGATGCGGGTCTCCCCGTCCGGACAGTTTCATGGTCTCGACCCAGCACCCCTGTAATCATTCGCAGCTTTTCACTGCGTCTGTTTCGTCTCACAGTGACGCCCGGCCCCCTTCATCGGCAGCGGTGTGAGCGGGGAGGCTGGCGAGCCGCGCCCCGCCCACTCTGTCACCCGTTCACAGCGTCCCCGTGCCGGTGCTGCGACGAAATCTGTAGCGGAAATGGTCTCGACTCACCCTTGATGTGACGCAGACCCGCGGTACTTCCACACAGAATGCGGTTTTCCACTTGGGGTGTAATTAAAGCTGATAACGCTGATAAAGCCAGCCTCAGCTGTTACGCCAAAAGAAAAACTCGCCTTGGTTTTCCCACATCTGATGGTGCTTATGCTAACTAACGGCGAATCTGCCCTGTTATTAAACCGATACGGGCAGATCTCTGAATGCTGCTGTCGATTTGACTCTGCATCAAAACAAGAGCGAAAATCCGGCCGAGCTGTTGCTGGCATTTTACACTGCCGAAGAGCCGACCGCCCCGAGCATTGGTGTTGCCAGCCCTGACACCGGGCACGTGACCTCGCCCATTACGTCACCGCGGGCTGCGGCCGGCTCGTGGGCTGCCTTCTAATGCGCCGTCATCCCGGGAGGTCTGTGGTCGCTTCAGAGGTTCGCCCTTCCCGCTGCATACGTAATGAATAATTTCTTTACGCCTGCTGTCGCGGGAAAACCATCCACGGCGTTGATTGCTGTCCCGGAAAGCAATTCCGTTTTGATTACCGATTCAACAAGCCAATTGTGTTTTGATTGTCAACTTCGGCGGTCCCCTGTGGCTTGGAAAACAACTCCCCAACTTCATCTGTGGGCCGTGCTTTTGCGCGGAGCAGCTCGCCAAACACGATAAATGACGGCCGCCTCCGGCGACCGTGTAACCGGATTAAGAGCCGAGATCTCGACTTCCTCCCGGCCAGTGTTCGCAGTCGCGCCGACTCCGCGTAGCGCTAATATTTACGGTGTGGTTGTTTGTTTATCTGTAGCTGGAGGGGACTGTCGACGGATGATATGCGAACGGGGTAACAAACAAACAATGGACGGCGAACCTCTGTATGCCAGGCACGGGTGGCGGGCAGCACCTTAAATCCTCTGACAAGACGCCGGGCTCTTGTCAGTACCGTCACGTGGCCGGCCCCGCCGTGGCCCATAATGACCACGTGCTGGGCCTCCTTTAACACCGACGTAATCTGTGGCTCGTTTCGTCCCACCATCCTCCCTCGTCCGCCTGCATGACTGATGGCGCCGCCATGGCCCGTGACGCTGCTCCTGCCCGGTGCCCGTCCGCTGAAGCAGCTGCGCTGCCGCGGTCTGCGACGCCGCTGTGTTCCGCCGCCCGGCCACAATGTCCTCCCCCCAGTCAGCCGTCCCCGGTGTAGTGACGCCGCCTGGCCCGTGCCGTCGCCAGCGCTGTCCAAGAGCTCGGACGCGGTGGACGCGGGCGCGCGCGATGTCGGCGACCGGCAGGAGGCGGCCGCCGACCCGCTCAGGAGCAACGGCTACTCGGAGGAGTACCTGGACCGGTTGGAGCCCAACGGCAACATACCCAAGGACAACTCGCTGCACCTCGGTAAGCTCGGAGCGCGCCGATGGGGTCGGTGATCGCACCAGGACTCGGTCCGCTCTCCGGGGCATTTAGGCTGTGCTGCGTCTGTCGTTGTTTCGCGGTGTCTCCCAGCGGCCCTTCGTCACTCCGTGTCCGGGCGTCCCTCCCATGCCCTCGCCCCTCCCGTGTCTTCACGCCCGACCCCCCGGCGGGTGTCGACCTCAGCATCTGTCCGTGTTCTAGCGTAACCCCGTCTCCTCGCGTCCCTGTGTCTCCGTGTCTCAGTGTCCGTCCGTGCCCATCACCGTGTTCGTCTTGTCCCGCCCCGGCGTATCTCGGTACCCGCGTTCCGACGTGTATGGGCCTGTTCTTGTCGCAATGTATCTGGACGTGTCTGAGTGCGTGTCCGTGTCCCGGTGTCCGTGCACTCGCAGGCGTCTGTCCGCGCCCCCGTGTCTCAGTCTCAGTGTGCGGTCGTCGGCCCGCGGCATCCGTCATCTCGGCGTCTGTCCGCGCCCCCGTGTCTCGGTCTCAGTGTGCGGCCGTCGGTCCTCGGCGTCTGTCCGCGCCCCCGTGTCTCGGTCTCAGTGTGCGGCCGTCGGTCCTCGGCGTCTGTCAGATCCGTCGGCAGGCCGTCTCCGCCGGCCCGCTGCCGAGCGGCGCTCGTTAAATCGCGGCCACGCGCCGGACCGCACGCCGATGGCCCTCCACGGCCGCTAATGAGCAGCCCCCGCCGGACTGCGTCGGCGGCGCCGCGCCCCACCCCCGCCATTAGCCGACGGAGTGGCGACGGGGCCGACTGCACAGGGGCGTACACAGGGGGACGGGCGGGAGAGGCTAGCTGTACAGGGACCGGTGGGACCGATGGGAGGGGCCGACCGCACAGGGGGACCGGTGGGAGGGGCCGACCGCCGACCGTACAGACACAGAGGGACCGATGGGAGGGGCCGAATGTACAGGGACGTATACAGGGGACGGGCGGAGGGGCCGACTGCACAGGGGCGTACACGGGGGGACGGGCGGGAGGGGCCGACTGTATAGGAGTGTGCACAGGGGAATGGACGGCAAGAGCCGACTGTACAGGGGCGTACGCATTAGGACGGGCGGGAGTGCCGACAACAGGGGCGCACGCAGGAGGACGGGCGGGAGGGGCCGACCGCACAGGAGTGTACGCAGGGGGCCGACTGTACAGGAGTGTACGCAGGGGGACGGGTGGGAGGGGCCGACTGCACAGGGTCATCACAGGGGGAACGGGCATGAGGAGCCGGCTGTGCAGGGGTGTACGCAGGGGGACGGGCGGGAGGGGCTGACTGCACTGGAGTGTACGCAGGGGGACGGGCGGGAGGGGCTGACTGCACAGGGTCAACACAACGGGACGGACGAGAGGATGTCGCATTGGGAAGACTACGTTACGATGACCTATGATGCTATGCGCGTTGAGCGCCGGCCCGACCGTGCGCAGTGACCCGATCAACGCGGCTCGGGTGACGCCACTATCAAGCGGGGTTGCTGCGGGCGGTGTTGTGAGGGGCTTTCAAATGTCCGGGTAGCCTTGGCCTGGTGTCGCTCCTCATCAATGCGTTTGTAGCGGTCCGTGTACGCGCAGCTATCTTGTTTGAATATGTGGGTGACCGTGGTACACCATTACACACGGATACCAGCGTGCGCTGAGGGGTGGATGGGTATTTTCTGAGTGTGTCGCAGGTCTCGGTGGCATCCCATCTCACGGTGTTGGAATACCGTGGTTTATCGCTATCTAGTGGTGTCCCCCCCCCCCCCCCCCCCCGCCTCAGTGTTCCTCTCCAGCGCGAAGAGGGCTCTCCGTTGCAACCGCAATCCTCACGCGTCGCTGTGAACCTGCGGTGCCATTGGGACCCTCCCGCTCTCCTGCGACTGTCGCTGCTGCGTCCCCCCGGCACTACGACCACAGTAGTCGACGCGCCCTAAAACTCCAATCAACAAACAAACAAACAGCACTACCGCATCGCTCCGTCCCCCTACTGTCCCGCCACTACTGCCCCCTGCTGTTCCGCCACCGCCGCCCCGGGCCCCCGCTGTCACACCAGCGCCGGCCCGGTCCCAGGTCCCCTGCTGTCCCGCCAGCGCCGCTCCGGTCCCTTGCTGTCCCGCCAGCGCCTGCTCCGGTCCCCTGTTGTCCCTCCAACACCGGCCTGGTCCCCGGTCCCTGCTATCCCACCAGCACTGCTCCGGTCCCCGGTCCCCGATCCTCTGCTGTCCCGCCAGCGCCGCTCCGGTCCCTTGCTGTCCCGCCAGCGCAGCTCTGGCCCCCTGCTGTCCCTCGCCGGCCCGGTCCCCGGTTCCTGCCATCGTACCAGCACCGCTCCGGTCCCCGGTCCCTGCTGTCCCGCCAGCGCCGCTCCGGTCCCCGGTTCCCGGTCCCCGGTCCCCGGTCCCCGGTCCCTGGTCCCCGATCCCGATCCTGATCCCTGATCCCCGATCCCCTGCTGTCCCACCGGCGCCGGCCCGGTCTCCGGTCCCCACCAGCACCGCTCCGGTCTTCGGTCTCCAGGGCCCGTTTGCCGGGCGTCACGTCACCTGTCGGCCGCCGGCTCCGTAATTAACTGACGCTCACGACAGCGGCGCCGGTGCCGGCTGGACCGGCGCCGCACGGCACGCGCACTGAACAAACACCGGCCCCGCCCGCCGCCGCCGGCCGCCGCGGCCCCGCCTGTGTGCCGGCGTGGCTGGACAGGACGGGGCGGCCTGGTGCCCCGCCGCCGGCGGCCGTGCCGCGCCGCTGCGCTGGTGCTGCGCTGGTCTGGTGCCGTGCTCGCCTGGTGCGGATGACGAGTGCGGAGGTGCTGCTGGTGCCGGAGGCAGGCTGATGGCGTTCGCTCGGGGTACGTGGGGTCGGCAGGAGGAGTGGCGGGCCAGAGGTGCACGGGGTGTGCGCGGAAATGCTGGGGAGACTGCTATAGTGTGTCGTTATGGATGTCAGCGGTTTTGAAACCGCTAAAGCACTTCGCAATATCACTGTCGTTTCACGAGTGTCCAGCCGTTAGACGGTGATTGCACCGAGCCTGAATGAACTCAAATTGCAAGCTTGGGATCATCCTCCCAGCGGCCGGCGCGAGCGGGGTGGGCGCGGCTCGTTTCCACCCGCGTTACACCTCAGCGGGTTTGTGGCGTTAACACATGAGCGGCGTTGGCCGCTGACCTTCGAGGCGCAGTCGATGGCGGATCGCCGCCGGGGTGGAGGGGGTCGGAACGACCTACACCGGCCTGGAGGGATCGATTGGAGGCTCGGCCCGGCCGGCATGCAAGGCTCGGCCGCGTTTCCACCGGCGCCGGCCGCAGTGTGGGCGGAGGAGGAGGCGCCGCTCCCGGCCGCCGGCCTCCCGAGCCCGACCTCCCGGCCCGGTGAGGCGGGGCCGCCCCGCTCTGACCGCTGCCGGAGCCACGGACCGCCGGTCTCGAGGCCGCAGACCGGCCGCCGAGGTGGGGCCGGCGGTCCGCTGTCTCGTCCGCCGAGGCGGGGCCGGCGGTCCTCTGTCTGTTTCGCCCAGGCGGGGCGGGCTGTGTGCCGCCGTCGGCCGGCTCTCGTCGGCCGTTCTCGGCCCGTGTGTGTGTGTGTGTGTGTGTGTGTGTGTGTGTGTGTGTGTGTGTGTGTGTGTGTGTGTGTGTGTGTGTGTGTGTGTGTGTGTGTGTGTGTGTGTGTGTGTGTGTGTGTGTGTGTGTGTGTGCGTGTGCGTGCGTGCGTGCGTGCGTGCGTGCGTGCGTGCGTGCGTGCGTGCGTGCGTGCGTGCGTGTGTGTGTGTGTGTGTGTGTGTGTGTGTGTGTGTGTGTGTGTGTGTGTGTGTGTTGTGTGTGTGTGTGTATTGCGGCTCGCCGGTACGGCCGTTGCCGAGTTGTGCGAGCTCGTTTGCCGGCCGTTACGAGCCGAGTCTCCGCTTTATGGGCTTGACCCCCGCCCGCTCGTGCTGTCCAGTGGCGCCAGGTTCTGCGAAGCCACTCCCAAACAGCATGCGCTCGCACAGTTGCGCGCATTGTGAACGTGTGAACGGAAGAACGTGAACCTCGCCGTACTGTGTTTTACGGTCCCACATGGGTCGTCGTTTCGTTGATGGAATATTGTTTTTTTTTGTGCCGGACTGGGCCGGGAGGGCAGGCTGAAGCCGGCGGCCGCGCTTCTGCGACAGCGCGGAACCGCGTCCCTAACTCCTGTCCGTGACTGTCCTCCGGCCGTGCGCTGGCCAGACGCCTGATGCTGTAGCGTGAGGCGGAAACTAGCCAGGCGGCTGTCCTCCTGACGCCTGTCTGTCTGACTGACTCCTGGTGCCAGTGTTCCCGCGCGCCTGTTCAGTCTGGCAGTCAGAGGACTACCCTCCGGCCGCCTGTGTGCCTGACGCCTGTCTACCTGACGCCTGTGTGCCTGACGCCTGTGTGCCTGACGCCTGTGTGCCTGACGCCTGTGTGCCTGACGCCTGTGTGCCTGACGCCTGTGTGCCTGACGCCTGTGTGCCTGACGCCTGTCCACCTGACGCCTGTCCACCTGACGCCTGTCCACCTGACGCCTGTCCACCTGACGCCTGTGTGCCTGACGCCTGTGTGCCTGACGCCTGTCCACCTGACGCCTGTCCACCTGACGCCTGTCTACCTGACGCCTGTCCACCTGACGCCTGTCCACCTGACGCCTGTGTGCCTGACGCCTGTGTGCCTGACGCCTGTCCACCTGACGCCTGTCTACCTGACGCCTGTCTACCTGACGCCTGTCCACCTGACGCCTGTCCACCTGACGCCTGTCCACCTGACGCCTGTCCACCTGACGCCTGTCCACCTGACGCCTGTGTGCCTGACGCCTGTGTGCCTGACGCCTGTCCACCTGACGCCTGTCCACCTGACGCCTGTCCACCTGACGCCTGTGTGCCTGACGCCTGTCCACCTGACGCCTGTCCACCTGACGCCTGTCTACCTGACGCCTGTCCACCTGACGCCTGTGTGCCTGACGCCTGTCCACCTGACGCCTGTCCACCTGACGCCTGTCCACCTGACGCCTGTCCACCTGACGCCTGTCCACCTGACGCCTGTCCACCTGACGCCTGTCCACCTGACGCCTGTGTGCCTGACGCCTGTGTGCCTGACGCCTGTCCACCTGACGCCTGTCCACCTGACGCCTGTCCACCTGACGCCTGTCTACCTGACGCCTGTCCACCTGACGCCTGTCCACCTGACGCCTGTGTGCCTGACGCCTGTGTGCCTGACGCCTGTCCACCTGACGCCTGTCTACCTGACGCCTGTCTGCCTGACGCCTGTCCACCTGACGCCTGTCCACCTGACGCCTGTCCACCTGACGCCTGTCCACCTTACGCCTGTCCCCCTGACGCCTGTGTGCCTGACGCCTGTGTGCCTGACGCCTGTCCACCTGACGCCTGTCCACCTGACGCCTGTCCACCTGACGCCTGTGTGCCTGACGCCTGTCCACCTGACGCCTGTCTACCTGACGCCTGTCTGCCTGACGCCTGTCCACCTGACGCCTGTGTGCCTGACGCCTGTCCACCTGACGCCTGTCCACCTGACGCCTGTCCACCTGACGCCTGTCCACCTGACGCCTGTGTTTCTGTCCGCCTGACGCCTATCCACATGACGTCTGCGTGCCTGACGCCTGACGCCTATGTGCTTGTCTCATGACGCCTGTGTACCTGACGCCTAACCACCTGACGTCTGTGCTCCTGTCCGCCTGACGCCGGCGCGTCCGTTTTCAGGCTGGGAGCGGCTGGCTGACCCTGACCCCGTGTCGCGCCAGCTGTCCGTCTCGTCCGACAGCCGGCTGCTGGACGGCGCGGCCGGCTCGGAGGTCAAGGTCGTTATGCGACCCAAGAGGCCGCCGCGGCCCAAGTCCGAGGTGCTCATCTGCCAGCAGAGCCGGAAATCCAAACGTTACTCGGCCTTCGGGGTACGTTTGCAGACCACTTAGTGTTTTGGTTCGCCGACCATATTGCCTGTTTTGCAGGCGGCTTTTACGTGAGATTTGTCTGGGCTGTTGGGTGAGCAACTATGGGAGGGGCGAGGGAGTGGTGGGGTGTAGAGGAGCGGCGGCTGGGTTGGCTGTAGGGTAGACAGTCTGTTCGGCCAGTGGTGGTTGACTTCGTTGCCGTTGCTGCGGGGCTCCGCTGCTGACTCAGCATCCCCGAATATGAACTCCGGTGGTCCGTGCTCTCCTTGCGAGCTTCGCGTAGTTCGGCTGACTAAGCTAGATCGCTGCGACGGACGTGTCCATTGTGCCCCGCGGGGACGCCTATGATATGCTACTTCCCGGGCCGGGGTGGGAGGCTGCCCTGGGCCTCGCTCTCACCGGCTCTCGTCCCCGCCCGGAACTGGGCCTGTGCCCGCCGGCCGGGTCGTTCGATCCAGCCGCTCTCGCGTCGTTAAAGTGGAGGCGGCCAGCGGCAGGAAATCGCGCCGGAGCGGATTTTATCCGGCGTGGCCGGGCCCGGCTCGCTGCGGGGTTTTATCAGGCTCGGTGACGCGGCCCGGGCCGTCGGGCCGTCGCCTGGGGCGGCGGTGGCGGCGGCGGCGGCCGGCACGCTCCGGGGTGGGAGCGGGTTACGGCGGACTCGGGAGCGGCCGGGCGCGAGCGCCGCGACTCTATAATAACGAGTGAGCCAGGCCGCCAAAACCGGCGGATTAAGCTGATCGCGCCGGGTCAAAGGAGCCCTACGGTATCAACGTCACACGCTCTCTTGACGTAAACAGTGAACGTGCCTTGACTGGGACACCAGAATGACATTGCTGAAGTGCTGCACTTGACAGGGCAGCCCGTTCTTGTGATGCTGACGCACTCCGTATAACTTCCCTCTAAATCACGACTTAGCTCGTCGATAATTACCCGTCCGCGTCAGACGACGCGGGTGACGCAATCGTGCCCTGTTGGATACCGAGCCATGTGGGTGTCGCGGCAATGAGCTTGCCGTCGCAGTTGCAGCACGAGGAGAGCATCACACACTTACCCACGTGTCGTGGCCCTGGCGGCCCAACACCTGGCTGGCCATCATGCGCTGTGTAATGGGAAAATGGCAACGCTGCTAGGAGGGCACGGCGAATAACACACTGGCGGTGGTAATGATACGCTGGAAGTGGTAAGCCGTTGCTTGGTCTCTGGTCATCGAGCTTGACCTCTGGTCATCGAGCTTGACCTCTGGCTATCGAGTTTGACCTCTGGCCATCGAGCTCACGCGAGCCGAGAAGAAGCGCGGTAGGACGTGGACGGGTCGCATGCCTGTGGTCGGCTGTCGAGTGTGTGGTAGAGACCGGCAATGCTGTCCTCGTGATACGCCAATGACCGTCCACCATGTTATTCAGTTACGCCCAGAGTCCATCGAAGTCCACCGAAGTCCACCGAAGAGCGATGCCTGCATTTCGAGCGCAATGCTTCATTTCGTGTCGATTTCCTGTAAAGGATTGTCGCTTGCTTGTGACGAGCCAGTGTTTTCCATTTCGATCAGATACAGGGGGTGTTCGGTTATTTTCACCTCTGCCGGATCGTTTAGCGCTGTAACGCCGTTATGGTCGCAGATGGACTACGGTAATCGTCGCGCATTCGAACTCAAATCCTCAGTATCATTACTGGCAATTGCAATATGACCTCGATGAGTGTTGTACCCCTGAGGAAACCCTTTAGAACGCAGAGGACACCTAGCGAGGCCCGGTCTGTCACGCGTGTGATCTGCTAATGATCCTCGACAGCGCGGTGTCGGCGCCAGCGGGCGCTGCCCCGCCCGGTGGCCCCTCCGTGGTGACAGACTGGGTCAGCAGGGCGACATACTCCGGCTGGCCCGGCGTTCGGCCGGGCTCGGCGGTCACGAACGCCATGGCGCCCGTTAGTGACGGCCGTTCTGAGCAGTGTGGCATGGGGAACTGCGTGTACTGCGCCCGTGTCCTCGGCGGGCGATTTGCATCTGGAGACGTTCAAGCACGCTGAACGGCCGGCGATGGGCGAACCTCGTCTTGGTGGGGCCCGGCTCGGCCTTGTCGGCCGGCTTCTGACCGCCAGGGACATGCGCAGTAATTGGCAATGGGGACGGGGCACAGCTAGAAAAACAAGATAACTGAAAACACAGCCTATCGTACCGCAGGCGCATGAAGTTCTTTTGCGATGCTTAAAACGTCACGTGCTCTCAGTTTGTGTAGTTTTCCGTGTCTACCTCGAATTTGTAACTCTCAGCATGCATTCACACATATAAATGCATGTGAATGGTGGGGGGCGGGCGGGGGGCACGTGCCCCCGAGTGACACTCCGTGGGTACGCCCTGCTGATGGCAGTTGCCTGGTGGTTCGATGATTCAGTGGCCGGTCCTTGGCCTGTGTTACTGGGCACCGACCGTCGCGGCACGGCTGGCGGACCGCTGACCCGTGGCGCGGCGGCGGCGGCGGCGGCGGCGGCCTGGCAGGGCGACAGACACGCCCTGTCACCGGCCGTCACCGGCCGTCACTGCTGGACGGCTGCCGTCGCCGCGTCACCCGCCACTGGTCGTTACCGCCCGTCACCGACCGGCACCGTTCGCCAGCGCCCGGAACCTCCGGCTGCTGTCGGATACCGCCCGTGACGACCCTTCACGGCCGGTCACGCCTGTCCCGCCCTGTCATCACCGGTGCCCCGCCCGTCCCTGGCCGTGCGCCACCTTCGGACGCGCGGCCGTCGACGGACCGCCTGGTGTCGGCAGGTCTCGCAGATCTAAGGGTCCTTGGCCTACAGCTACAAGAGGAGTGAGGTTCCCCTGCCGCGGCCTCAGCTCTGGCCGAGGTCGGTCCGTCGGGTCAGGTGGTGATTCTGCGGGTCGGCCGCCCTAGCCAGGCCGGACGGCGCCGGCCACGTCTCGCGGCCCGCTCGGAGGCGTCGCCGGTGACGGACGGCGAGCAGCGCAGACCGGTCGTCAGCGGCTCAACGCAGAGCCGGCGGATATCCAATGAGGAGTCTGAGTTCGGGTTTATGAAAAGCTAGTCGCGCCGAGTTTCGGACACGCGTTGGAACGGCTTCTCCGACTGGCGCCGAGGGAGGCGCGCGAAGCTTGCGCCTGATGGTTGATTAGGGAAACGCCGGACGGGGCGGCGGTGGCGGCTCGACGCCGGCGGGAGAGGCGGGGGATGAGCCGCACCGAAGCCGCGCCGCGTCCTCGGCTTCCGGCCGGCGCGCCCTGCGCCCCACGCCGGCCGTCTCGTGTGACGCCGAGCCAATGCCGTGCCGCCCCTCTTGCCAGCGGCACCGACGCGTGACAACAGCGTTCAGTATCGACCCTCATCACGGTTATTACCGGCGCGCAGTTATTGTTGGCGCGGCTGCTCGCCGCTGTTGTCCGAGAGCCCGGCTGTCGGCCGCCCGCCTCCGTGCCGTGCGGAGACCGGCGGCGCGGCGCGCTCCTGTGTGCCGGCGCCGAGTCGGCGCGCTCGGCCGCACTGCTCGGCTGTTCTCGTGAGGTGCCGCGGCGCTCGCGTCTATCGGTCGTGGCCGCGGTCCGGCCGCCTCCGCCGCTACCGGCCGGCGCGAGCGCCCCGCCGGCTGCCGACTCCGGGTCAGCCCCGTCAGCTCGCGCCGCCACCGGTGGCCTGTGCTGCGGCTCACGCACGCACGCTAGTTTGTGTGCGTGGCGGGTGCGAGGCAATCCCCTTAGGCGGCCGTACGGCGGCTTACATTGTTATGCAAGCGATAACGTGTTATGCCGGTGTTTGCCGTGGAGCGTCGAATAAAACCGCCTGTGGTGTGCCCGGCTGCCACTTGGGACAGAGGCGATTACTGACGGCCTCGCCCTCCATGGATCACCTTGTGAAGGTGGCCCGTGCTGAGTCCCCTAACATCCCCTCGCCGCCGACCGTCAACGCCCCAACCGGTTGATGCAGTAGCGTGAGTAACATCTCCTCACATGCGAAGATGACGTCAGAGGGTGCGCCATCACGTCGCTCATCAGACGCACCCGATGTGTGTCCAGGTCGCCGTCACCACTAGCGGTGATGAGCCCCAGCTCCGCCTCGGCCGTCCGCTGTGCGCCGTCGTCCGTCACAGCCGTCCGCCGTCTGTTGCAGGGCGACTCGCCGTTCGGCCGCCAGGAGGCGTACGTCAAGCTGGACGCACTAGGCGAGGGCTCCTACGCCACCGTCTACAAGGGCTACAGCAAGTGAGTGGCCGCAGTTAGGCTGTGTGCGGAGAGCACTTGCCGCCGCCTCCCACGTCACCGCATGCAGGAGTGATGGCGAGTCAGTAGCCCTCGAATGCTCTGTGCAGGATAGCGCTCGGCGCTGGCGCCTGCTTCCACTGCGTACAAGGGTTACGGCAGCATAGTTGCTCGTCTGATGCCGTGTGAAAGAATGCCACTCGACGGGAGCTCGCCCCCGGCTCCCGTCTGAACCGGGTCAGCAGCGGTGGTCGGCCCGTCGCAGCTGTCGCCTCATCCACCACAGCGCGAAGTTGCTGTGAGCGAGAATCATAGCTCAAAATGGCGCCAGTAGCTGACGCGGCCTACAAGTACAACGATTCGTCAATAACTGGGATAAAAACGTACTCGATGGCTCTTCCATTGGGAGATGGCGTCGGCTGCGGCGTCTGGCATGCGCGTGGGTTGGAACCGTCACGCTGCAAGGTTAGCCACGTGACATCATTCCCACGGATCTGCTCTCCCCACACTCCGCGCGACGTTCGCAGCGCTGTCTCTTGGTCATGAAGCGGTGTGCTCGGGACGCACACTTTGCCGTGTTTCTGCGTCGTTCGCTTCAGTTGTCTCACGCGTCATCGACGCCAAAGGCCGTCGTAGTCGCAGGCGTCGCGAGACAGTGGAGGTCTGGACCGAGACAGACGTGCTTAGATCAGACGTCAGACGACCAACGGGTGCACCGAGCCGTTGGTGTGGCCGGTGCCCTCCGAACCTGAGCCGGCCGCCGGCCGCCTGCTGTCTCCCGTCTGTCGCTCGGCAGTCACGGGGGTGTTGTGTGTCGGGGGGGGGGGAGGGGGGGGGGGGGGGCCTGGCGGGCGGCCATCCGCCGCCGCCGCCGCCGCTGCCTCTGATCGACCGATTTAGCCCCGGCATGCCGGATGAGACCGTGCGCCGCCCGTCCGCTCCCGGGAATGCTAACGCCACGGCCGCCGTCAGCAGGCTGGCGACGTGGGGCGTTGCGACTGTGCGCTCGGCTCGACCGCTCAGCCTTGCGCCCGGCTGTTCCGCTGGGCTCGCGCGCTCGGGTGTGCGCTCGGCGCGCAAGTCGCCGGACGTGTCGCGCCACCGCGGAAAGGCACTTCGCGCGTAACCGCTTGCGACCAATCTGGGCAGGTGAAGCGTCCGGGTCGGTTTGTAGGCGGACGCGCATCAGTGACAGACCGATGCCGAACGTTCGAGTCCAGTTGACGTGTCCTGTCAGCGTTACGCGGGACTTTCTTCAACAGCGTGGTGCGATGCACATCGCTGGGACGGTCGGCGCTGTGCTGCGGGCGGGAGGCGTGCGCTGGCCCGAGTGGCGTCAGCGGTCATGGCGCGCGGGCCCCCGCTCAGCGGCGAGCCGGTGTCTGAGTGTTTTCCGTCCGCCGGTGGCTCTCCGCCCGTGTGGCTCTTTCCCACCCCGCTCGCCGCGTCCTCGCTACAAACCGTCGTCGCTTATCCGGTCGGCCATCGCTTGCGCGGATCCGGACATCGATACCGCGCCGACACCCATCCGTCTTGCGCGGCGGGCGCCTCCCCCCCCCGCGCCCACGCGCTGTCTCGTTATCCCGGTCCTCCTCGAATGGGCGTCGCGTCAGAACGGGGAAAAAGCGTCCCCGGCCGCGGCTTTGTGCGTCCGGGATTGGCGGCGCCCTTTGTCATCGGATGCCGGCCAGCGGTTGACGATCGATTCTGTCATCCGTTGACCATTGTTGCCGCCTCGCCGGGCGGCTCTCGGCGCAGGGCGGCGCAGCGTCCGTCTCTAGGGCCGCCGGTCTTCCGGGGCGCGGGTGTCGGCTTGACAGCCAGCCCCCGGGCAGCGTTGGGCCGGGCCTGGCCACGCCGACGCGGTCCTGTGGTGGCCGCTGCGGGCGGCGGGCTGGGCAACTAACTCCGCACCCCCGCGCTGTCCTCTTTCCGGAGCGCCAGCGGCTCGACGTCCGGCGTCATGTTCCGGTCGCCGTCCGGCGGCCGCCGCCTGGCCCCGCGGTGCCTGGCGCATGCGGCCGGGGGCGTCCTGGTGGCACGTCTGGGCAATCGCCAGGCGATCACATCGGGCAAATGTGATTACACCGGCGCCTAATGTGATCACACGGCTGCGTAATCACCCGGGGCAACAGTGGGCCCTGCCAGTGCCCCCGCCCCTCCCCGCCGCCCCGGTGGACCATCCGTTCGGCTCGGTGGGGGACTGTCTGGAGCTGGCCGGCCGCCGACGGCGGCTGCAGTCCACGGCCCGAGCTCAGCTGACAGGCCGACCCCCTGGACCGCAGGCGGCAGGGCGCAGGCCGGCGGACGCTGTGTGGCGTCACGATAGGCCAGTCGGCAGCGGGCACGTGTCGGCTGACATGTCGGTTGCTCCGTGTCTGTGTCCGTCGAGCCAGCAGTCGCCAGCACCCCAGCACTCGTCGCGCGTCAGGCTGGCAGACTGTGTCAGGTGTCAGGCCCGGCGCCCAGCTGACATGCCCGGCAGCTGGGCGCCGGCCTCCATCGCCCGACAGACGCCCCATGTGCAGTTCTGCCCGGTGTGCGGCGCCAGCGGGAGCGGATTTCCCGCCCCGGGCGAAATTGGCGGACAGAGCTGCCGGCGCCACTTCAGCCGCGGTTTGTGTGGCGGCGAGAGAGGCGGTGAGAACGTCGCGGCTTCCCGCCTCATTTCCAAACCACCGCAGGCCGGACCGCGACCGGGCTCGATGCCGGCCACCCACGTGCAGCCGAGTCCGCTCGGGTGAAGGTGGTTTGTGGGCGACCCACCGACACGCAAAGGTGTTTAGAAGGATTGCATGACCACTCTGTCGCTGATGTGTCGGCCGCTGGCGTGTCGGGCCGGCCGTGGATGCGTCGGGCCAGCCGCTGGTGTGTCGGGCCGGCCGGGGGTGTGTTGGGCCGGCCGCTGGTTTGCCGGGCCAGCCGCCGGCGCGTCGGCCGCTGGTGTGTCGGGCCAGCCGCTGGCGTGCCGCGCCGGCCGCTGGTGTGTCGGGCCGGCCGCTAGTGTGTCGGGCCGGCCGGGGAGTGTCGGGCCAGCCGCTGGTGTGTCGGCCGCTGGTGTGCCGGGCCGGCCGAGGTTTCCCCGTCGCCCTAGCCGTCTCGTGACGGCGATCCAAAGCTGTTTTGTGCCGCTGCGCTATGTCAGGCCGACTGGCTGACGCGTCCTCTGCTGCATCTGCGCGGACGCGGCTGTCCATTACGGCCGCGTTGTCGCTGCGCTCTGTCGGCAGGCTGTTTGGAGTATGTCGCTGTGCCGGCCGGCCGCTGCCCGTCGCCGCCGCTGCCGCCGCCTGTCGTCTTGCCGGCCGCCCCGTGGGCTGTCGGCCGCGTGCCGCCGCTCCGACGCAGCCGGCATTGTTCTCGGCTAATGTGATTTCTTTCTCGGGACTCGCCCCGGGGGGCGTCCCTCCGTCGTGCCGCCGGCGGGCGGAGCGGAGGCCAGGTCCCGAGAGTGCCGCCTCCGTCTTCATCTGTCATAGATCTCGGCCGCCGCACTCGGACCTGTTCCGGAGCCGGCTCGCTCGGTGTGCCGGCCCCGGCTGTGGCGACGAGCAGACGCTGCGTCGATGGGAGCGGCTCTGTCGAGCGGGCGGCATCGACGCGCCTGAGGGGACCTCCCGGGGCTATGGCGCGCCGCGCGCCGCGTCGGAGGCGACGGGAGGTACTTAACCGACATGGTGACCGGAGAGCGTCGCCATCGAGCGCGTGAGCCGAGCCATGGGCGGCGCATCGACGGAGCATCATCCACGACGGAAGCTGACTGCGCCTGACAACAGGCCGGTCCGCCCGGCAGGCGGATCAGGCTGGGCGCCGACTGTGGCGGACGTCGCCGCCCGGCTGGCCGGCAGACGACTCCGCCGAGCCAGGCTCTCGGGGCTCCCGCTGCCCGGAGTCGGAGTCGGACGGTCGGCCGGCAGACGACTCCGCCGAGCCGGGCCTTCGGGGCTCCCGCTGACCGGATCAGTCGTCGCTGCCCGGAGTCGGAATCGGAGTCGGACGGTCGGCCGGCCCCGCTCGCGCGCTCGCCGGATTTCGCGCGCTCGCCGTCGGAGGCCGGTCGTCTCGTATCGGGAGTGGGGTTCGCCTGCCGCGCGTGCCACCGTCACTCAGTGTTGGGAACAGGGTGGCGGAGGTGTGGGAGAAGGAAGGAGAGTCTGGGACAGAGGGCGGGAAGGGAGGGTCGCTGAGACAGGGTTTGGAGTGGAGAGCTGGCTGCCATCGCCTCCTCACAGCCTTCTGTGTCGGGCCGCCGCACCGCACCTGCTGATACCCCTCCGTTACTCCGCAGGACTGGTGGGGACGTAAGCGGACTCGTGTTTGCTGGCTGACGGGTTCGGTTTACGAGCACTGCATTTGGTGGCCTTGACGCGATAGCGGTGTGTGTGAGAGCGGGGGAAAGCAATACCAATTACCTCAGCAGATCAGCGGGTCGACTCGTGGTCTGGTGGCGACCGGTGTTGGTTGTTATTTGGTCCTTAGTCCCACCTGACGTCGATAGGCGAGCATCGATTGATGATCGGTTGTGTTGCCTGATCCTAATGCCCACCTGACGTGTGACGCGACCAGTCTGTTCACCAGTGTGGGACACAAGGCCGGAATCTGCCTGTGACCTGACCTGACCTGACCTGACCTGACCTGACCTGACGTTTGCGGCAGCCTGACGCAGCAGACGGTGGCGCTGAAGGAGATCCGGCTGCAGGAGGAAGAGGGCACACCCTTCACCGCCATCCGTGAGGCCAGTCTGCTTAAGGAGCTGAAGCACGCCAACATCGTCATCCTGCACGACATCATCCACACCAAGAGCGCGCTCACGTTCGTCTTCGAATACGTGGTGTGTGGTCGTGACGGTGGCTGAAAATCAGTCTGTGGTCGCCGCCACTCTAGGTCCTCTGCGATGTGGAGGAGCGAACCTGCGTTGTATCCATGGTGTGCGTCTTGATATGGGTGGTGCGCTTTAGAATGTTGGCGTGCCCTTCGCTGTCGTCCGCATCCTTTGCCCTGCTCAACAGCTTACAACTTCCTCTGGTGCTGTATGCATATGACGGCCCCGCCTGCCACGTTGTCGTGTGTTACCGCACTGCGTGCCCCGGTGTCCTGTGTTGACGCCGTCGCCCCCCGCGGTGCAGCGCCTTGACGCCGCCGCCTGCCCCGGTGCAGTGCGCTGACGCCCTTGCCTGTCGTGGTCGGCAGCACACGGACCTGTCGCAGTACCTGGAGAAGCACCCTGGCGGGCTGCACGGCCGTAACGTGCAGCTGTTCATGTACCAGCTGCTGCGCGGCCTCAGCTACTGCCACGCCCGGCGCATCCTGCACCGCGACTTGAAGCCGCAGAACCTGCTCATCTCGCAGATCGGCGAGCTCAAGCTGGCCGACTTCGGTGAGCGGTGCAGAGGCGGCAGGGGTATGGAGCGCGCGGGGCGGGGCTGTGTGAACGGTCGCGCATATCTTTTCTATCTGCTGGTTGCGGATGTTTCGGCGAGGTTCCTTTTCACGTGCGGCGAAGTTGACGAATCTTAAGCGTCGATCTAATGACCTCGTGCTGGTGGTATTATCTGGCGCTTTTAGGAGTGGTTCAGTTGGCGCGCTATTTTTCCAAACCACTGTTCAAGATGATGCATGGTGGCCGAGCGACAGCAGCATGATACCGTATCATTTATTCCACCCTCCATTGCACAATAAATCGTCGGTCTGGTCAGACGGTTCAGCTAATGGTGCCCATCGGAGGCGGGGAGCTTCCCGTAATTCCGCGGTGGCTCCGGTATCGGCCGTGTGGCGCTCAGCCCCGGTGGGCTGGGCCGGCAGCCGGAGCGGGGGTGAGGTTTGGCGCGGCGCCGGACCAGTCCGCCGATGACCACGCCCCGTCCCCGCCCTGTGCTGACCCCGCCATGTCCCCCACTGACCCCACCATGTCCCCCGCTGCCCCCCCCCCCATGTCCCCCGCTGACCCCGCCGTGTCCTTTGCTGACCCCGCCGTGTCCTTTGCTGACCCCGCCGTGTCCTGCGCTGACCCCGCCGTGTCCTTTGCTGACCCTGCCGTGTCCTCCGCTGACCCCGCCGTGTCCTCCGCTGACCTAGCTGACCCTGCTGCAGGTCTGGCACGGGCCAAGTCTGTGCCGAGTCACACGTACTCGCACGAGGTTGTGACGCTCTGGTACCGGCCGCCCGACGTGCTGCTCGGCTCCACAGGTCAGTGGGGAGGGGTGCAGGTCACGGGGGCGGGTACACTGGATCCTGGAGAATGCTGAAAAAGATATGTACGACAACGCGACGGGAGCGAACGCATCTTGGTGTAGAAAGTATTAAATTGTGGTTCTGGAGGAACGTGGCTATGCCCGCAGCGGCGCGTGAAGCGTAGGCTCCACCCTCGGGTGTGCTGGTCGGCGAGGTACGTACGAAAGGATAATCAGTATGGAGGGCGGACCGGCCAGAGGCTGACGCGCGGTTGCGCGGTATGACCGAGGCATGCGCACGTCAAGGTGTGTTGCTATCCATGCTGTGCCCTGTCGTGTTTCACGTGTGGTGAACGGCGCCTTTGGGGTGGCTAGCGATCCGGTCACAGTGGTCCGGCTGGATCGTCGCCGAGGGGGGCGGTATGGTCTTTCGGCTGGCAGAGGCGTGTTGGTTGCCTTGCCTCCTTGCCTCCACACTCGCGGCACTGTGCCGTCTGCCTGTTAACATCGTCACTTTCGAGACGAGGGTGCCGCTATCCCCGCCCCCTGAAGCCTTACGTACACTGCACCCGCTGAGTGACAACACTGGAGGCTTTCTCCGCACGTGATCTCCACCGGACATGCCGCACCGCCTCCAGACTACACCACCTCGCTGGACATGGGGTGGGTGTTATCCTGACCTCGGTGTTCCCCTGCGCCCCAGACTACACCACCTCGCTGGACCCAAGGACACTGTGGTGGGTGTTGTCCTGACCTCGGTGTTCCCCTGCGCTTCCAGACTACACCACCTCGTTGGACATGTGGGGCGTAGGCTGCATCTTCGTCGAGATGGTCGCTGGCGTGCCGTGCTTCCCGGGCGTACGCGACGTGGCCGACCAGCTGGACAAGATCTTCCGCGTGACGGGCACGCCGGACCGGCGCGCGTGGCCGGCGCTGGCCGCCCTGCCGGGCTACCGTCCGGAGCGGCTGGGCCGGCACCGGGCGCGCCGGCTCTCAGACGCCTTCCCCCGGCTGGCCGAGCTGCCACATGCCGAGCCTCTCGCCGGCCGCCTCTTGCATGTGAGAGTCGGGGACGGTGGGCAGCGGCAGGGGAAGCGGGCGCGGTGTGAAGCAGCAGTGGTGGCTTTGGTTTGCTGAACATGAGCCCTGACTTCGAGCTGCGGAGGTCTCAGTCATGTTTGTGTCGTAGCTCTCGCAGCGAGGCCCGAACGTAGCGGGCCCTGCACACTCTGGTCATGAGTGAGTCGCGGTCCCAGCTGTGTCGGAGTGCCGTGATCCGAGCATGCTGGCGCGTCCCTGTTGGTACGGGCCTGCGCCGGCCGTGGGGACCGGTGCTCGCCCTGCCTCCCTGGCCGCCAGCGCTAACGCCCGCGGGCCGCCTGTTGCAGCTGGTGCCGGAGCGGCGGGCGGCGGCGGACGCGGCGCGGCGGCACCGCTACTTCGCCGACCTGCCGCCGCAGCTGGCGGCGCTGCCCGACACGGCGAGCGTCTTCACCGTCCCCGGCGTGCGGCTGCACCCGGAGCCCAAGCAGTTCGCGCCCGTCGTGCTCAAGATGGCGCAGGAGCTGCGCAAGAAGCACTAGCGGCGGCGCGCGCGTCGGTAGTTGAGCCGGCGGCCGCGGGCGGCGCTGGCGTCTGCCGGCGGGCGGGCGGCTCCCAGTGGGCGTTTGTACGCGGCGAGTGGGCGCGTGGTGGGTGGTCGACGCACGAGACGCGTGCGGGGAAACGTTCTCCGCCGGCCGGAGTCCGCACGGGGTAGAGGAAGCTCTAGTCACCGGTCCGTCATGTTACTGCGCGCGTGTTGAGATGGGCGCCGATCCGTGGGGAGTTGTCGACACTATCGGAGGCCCACATCGCCGCACAGGGGCTGGCGCTGGCGCCATCTAGTTGCTCTGTCCGCTCCCAGCAGTTGGCGAGCGCCACCTACCGGGCTTCGACCGTACCGACCGTATGCGATTGATGCTCACAAAGTCGCCTGTCGCGGCGTGGTAGGTGAGGTAGCTGTGAGATGTCTGTGCACCGCTTCGCGACTTTTCAGACAATACGTCCGTGCTGTGTTGTCCGCCTGTGTTGTATCCCGTTCAACGTGCTGACCGGTCCTGCGGTCTGCTCACCATGGTGACCTTTCGCCATCGAGTGAACATTTACTGTTATGTTTTGTTTTTTTAATAATTTTGTCGTTTATGACGCGTGCAAACTGTTCCGCCGCTTGTCGTTATTTTGACGCCCTATCCGATCCCAGGAGGCGCGCGCGTCACCGTCCTCTCCGAACCCTCTCTCGGCCTGGAGAGGACTTGGCGACACAGGCTGGGCCTTTCGTACGCACATGTGTCGGCGCGCGCCGGACGCGTAGCTGGGGGCGGCCGGCGCGCGGCGTGGCCCTCCGTGTCCTCCCGGCACTGTGATACGGGTGTGCAGCAGCCGCCCTCGTCCAGCGGCCGGCGTCTGTCTGCGGGCCGGCCCGTGGCGCGCTCCGCCGGCGGCGGCTCCGTGGCCGAACCTCGGGCCGCGGAGCACACTCGGCGTGGGGCCGGTCCGGCCGCGAGCTCCCGCGCCCCGCCGCGCAACAAGGAACGCGAAGCTGCCAGACGAGCGCACACGACCGGCTGCTCTCGGCCGCCCAGCTGGGGTCGCTGGCACGAGGTCACTGTCGCACGATCTTCACCGGCCGCTCTGCTAGTGCACCGTATGATATCGAGTGATCTGTTCGGACATCTCACGGCAAACCAAAGATCTGTTTCGTCCACTCGCGGCGTCGTGAGGCGTGACGCCTCGTGACGTGACGTGACGTGACGCCTCCTGTGAAGAGGTCCTATTGCGTCCGGGGCGAATCAGACATAGGCTTTCATATATGGTGTGGATGTATTACTTTCCATATATGTGTGTTGTTTGAAATAGACACGTACATGTCGTAAACGCAATTGCGTAATTTGTGCATCTCACAATACAGCTGCGAGAAGTGAGTGGTATGTGAGTGCTGGTGTGAGCACGCACCCCGTCCACCGGACAGTGCCGTGCACCAGTGCCGTGCATATATGCACACGCACCACGAAATATGAATCCTCTGCATTATTCCCAGACTGGTTATCATGAGCTGATTACATCAGTCCGGGAACGGCTTAGATCTATATATCAGAAGAGCCGTCAGAGCATGAAGTGCATGCCACGACTTAGAACAAACAGCTTGTAACCGAGGTTTGGTGTATTGTGCAGGACCTGAGTGCTGAGGCACGACGGGAGGGTCTCTTGGGGCGGGAGGAGGGGGGGGGGGGGGGGGGTGCTTTGTGTCAATAAGTGTCATTTGTGTGCAATAATCGAGCGGCTGATGCCACGCTTAGCATTGTAAGTTAAAGTATCGCGGCTGGCTTTGTTCTCGCTAATTTGCCAACCGACGCCACGCATGCTTGCGCTCTCACGGGAGAACAGCATCTCAGATGCATGCTGCCCACGCTGGCACGCACGTTTTGAGCTGAGTTGGTGACTCATGCCGCAACGTCCTCAGGGAGGTGCGCAATGCTCGCACGGCACATGAAAACAAACGCATCTCATGTAACGGCCGAAAAACACTCATTTAATGATCAGACAGCACACACCAGACAAGACAAGCATTCCGCCAGAACGCTGCGGTCATCTCTCGGTTGCGCTCGCCGGCAGTGCTGCGGTTACACGCAGAAGGGCGCACTCGGTTGTCGGAGGTGACGCGGGGTTAAGTCGGCTGTTGGCCGTCACGGTTACGCCGCTGAAACTCAGCATGACACATGCGGACACATTCTTTGACACATGGCGTATTACGGGCTGGGGCGTGAACAGATGATCGCTGTCCTCATGATGGAGAGTAATGGGACGATTACATAATTGAAAGCGCCTGTATCCCAGCGTGCCGCCACTGTGCATGACTGACTGTTATTTGCAGTGACTGGCTCACTGCGGCGGCACCGCTGCGGCTGTGGTCGTGCGAACGACTCAAACTGGGGCGGCTGTTTGGCAGTGAGCTGACGACGAGGTAAAAGTTTTGTCTGTTGCCGCCAGGGGAAGGCCGGCCGATCTGTTTAAAACACAAGTTTGTTGAACATTGTATCGCTTATGTGAGCTGTGGGTGTTCTGGTAACTGTAGGAAGCCCGGAACCCGCGATTTAGCCAGGGCCAATACCGAGGCCGTGTGCCCATTATGAAGCCATGAAACCCGATGCTAGCCACAAAATGTCAACATGTTTGGTGTGACGCGTCTTATCTATCACACGTGAAATCCGCTGCTGGTCCAGGACCACGCGAGCTCGCCGCCGCTGCCGAGCGGAAGACTAGATAAGGCCTCAGGTCGGCGACCCTAGACTGACTCTGAGCAGCAATGCGTGGGAGAGAGAGACCGAAGTTCGGACTGCCGACCTCCGCTACGGGTCCGACTAGCCAGTGGCAGTGGAGAGTTTCGGAAGCTTTGAGCTGTAAGCCATCTGACTAGTTTATAAGTTATGAAGTACTCCTATGACTGCACGACTTCCTGTTGAGCGTGAGCGCACTTTCAGGTGAAGCGGCAACGAAAGTGTTCCTTGTACAAAAGGTGAGTCCGTGTGGTGCTCGCGCTAACAAGATGACACTGGCTGTGAAACCGACACCCAATGCGCGCTCTAACACCACACGCACAACGTTTACCATCATCTCATTTACTTGACGGATTATCTTGCTGTTAACGGTCTCCAATCGTCTTCAGCCCCAAAAGGATCTGGACAACATTCACTGCGTTCGTGTCGTAATCTGCAATTACCTCCACGACCGTGCAACACACGAGCTCCACTGCTGTGGTCGATGCACCCGCGGACTTTGAGTACATCAGGTAAGCAGGTGTAACATTGGGTGCATCAGGTAAGCAGGGGTAACATTGGGTGCATCAGGTAAGAAGGCGTAGCGAAGCACGACGCTGATGCCCGGATCGATCCGGGGTCCTGCAGCGCCAGACGCCAGTCTCTGCCAGCGGTAAACGGCATTAAGTTCGCGTCACGCGGAAGCGTGCAAAGAAGCAGGACCTGGGGCAAGGGCGAATGGAACGTAGGCAGAATGGTAGAAGATATGCTTGAGTAAAAGCATTGGGTGTATATCTCAGGTAAGCCCAAACTATATCCAGCGTAAATGACGTGCACTATATGTTATCCTTAAAACCACAAATCTGGTTTGTCCCACGTCGCTGACTAGACGTCTGCTGCGAAATTCAGGCCTTTCGTGCATTACCAAACGTCTGACTACCATTCAGCTTCCGCACCATGACTAGGCACTGACTGTTGAACCCCCGGCCACCTATCCATTTGTCGTGCAGAGCAGCAGGCTAGCTGTCAGGGGCCAAAATGTCGGCCACGCGGAACGAGCTGAAGGCCCGCCGCCTGGGCGGGCTGGGGACGCCTCGGTCGAGCGAATTCCGGTCAGAACGTGTCCTCGAGGCATGAGTGTGACCCAGATCAGGCTGCGTCTCAGAGCTGTAGGTCTGACCCGGGACAGGCTTTGTTCTCGACGCGTCAGTCGGAGTTTGACGAGACTTCGTGTGGCGCTTGTGAGTCGGGCTGAGCTCGAGCGTCGCGCTGGAGGTGTGAGTGAGACCCAGCCGTGGAGGTGTGAGTGAGCCAGACTTCGCACCGCACGTGTGAATCAAACCGACGTCAGACTTTGACCTGGACGCCTGGCTGAGACTAAGAACAGACTTGGCCATGGACGTACCAGTCTGACTCAGATTCGGCCACGCCGTTGTTCCTCCACTCAGTTCGTGAGCACTTTTCGTTCTGAGCGCCGCCTCCACGAGCCCTGCTGCCTTCGAGCTGACCTCCAGCCGCCCGTCGGGGTCACGTCCCAGTCCGGACGTCGCTCGTCCGAGCGCCTCGTAGAACAGGCTCGGTCCGCAGTGTGCAAGCGCCTGGCCGTAGTGGGCCAGCGGCGCGCCGAGCCCTGGCAGGGGATGCCGGAGCACCGGCGGTCCGGCGCTACTCGAGGCCGGCGGCCAGCTCGCCCACGGCGCCGCGCTGCCGGCCGGCTCGCACGGGCCGCACGAGATGTGGATCGACGCCTGGAAGATCGGCGGCCGCGGCGCGGGCCGTGGTACCGATGCCGCGGCGGCGGCAGCCGGCCGCGGCCGGCAGCACACCTGCAGGTGGCGGCGCAGGTTCGACTTGCTGGCGGTCGTGTAGCGCCGGCAGCTGACACACTCGAACGGCTTGCGCGCCGCGTGGATGTAGCTGTGGCGCGTCATGAGCGCGCGCCGGCCGAACGTGCGACCGCACTCGCCACAGCTGTAGCCGGCCGCGTGAGCCCGGCGCCGGTGCTGCTCGTACGCGTGCTTGGTGTCGAAGCTGGCGCGGCAGCAGAGCAGCGGCTCGGCCAGCTGGCGGTGCATGGTGACACGGTGGCGGCTGAGGTTGCCGCGCCGCGCCGACCGGTACTGGCAGTCGCCCTGGCCGCACGCGGTGCGGCTACCGCCGCCGCTGCCGCCGCCGCCGCCGCCGCCGCTGCCGCCGCCGCTACCGCCGCCGCTACCGCCGCCGCTGCCGCCGCCGCCGCCGCCGCCGCCGCCGCCGCCGTTCCCACCGCCGCCGCGGTCCGTATCCATCAACCTGCGAGGTGGACCCGCCGCTCACAAACAGTTCAAAAATCCATCGCTTGCAACGATGCTAAACACATTTTGACCTGTTAAAACTGCCGAGCAATTTTTGGAATTCTGAGCAAATTCGATTTCCTTTCGCTGTGTTGCAATGAGTTGGTTAAAATAAGAAACCACTTAACCGATGATGTTGTCAATAAACGCATATTCTACACTGTAGTACGACGAAGGCAATGTTGATAATATAATATAATGCAATGCAAAGCTTACCATTACATGGAAGCATGTCGCCGCTCTTATCAATGGAGCTATATTTAGAAAGGTGCATGACGTTGTACAGCCACGGATACCGAAGCCAAGGTCGGAACCTTGCCGTGGCAACGCTCTCGTGCCATCATTTGCTTGCTTAACGACTGCTCGTCAGAAGGCGTCACGACGGAACGTTAGTGTGAAAAGAGAATGAGACGCAAAAGAGTCCATGGCCGACACATAGTCTGCGAGTGACACAAATAGCTGGATGTTGTCAAAGGACAGTCACCCTGGCCGCTAACGATGTCTGGGACAATATCCGAGCTCCAGATAACAGCCAATACAGGACTGCGTTGGACCATACAGTGGAACGACTGCCCGCTCTGCCTGTGCGAATACCTCGTCAGTCTGTCTCAGCGAGACCAGTGCGTCCGGGGCCTGTATCAGCGAGACCAGTACGTCCGGGACTCGTCTCAGCGAGACCAGCACGTCGGGGACTCGTCTCAGCGAGACCAGTACGTCTGGGGCTCGTCTCAGTGAGACCAGTACGTCCGGGGCTCGTCTCAGCGAGACCAGTACGTCCGGGGCTCGTCTCAGCGAGACCAGTACGTCTGGGGCTCGTCTCAGCGAGACCAGTACGTCTGGGGCTCGTCTCAGCGAGACCAGTACGTCGGGGTCTCGTCTCAGCGAGACCAGTACGTCTGGGGCTCGTCTCAGTGAGACCAGTACGTCCGGGGCTCGTCTCAGCGAGACCAGTACGTCCGGGACTCGTCTCAGCGAGACCAGTACGTCCGGGGCTCGTCGGCTAAGCAGTGAGCCCAGTGCCGCAGTGAGGCTGGGGTTGGGTCAACACTGAGCCGCCCGTTACAAGCGGACAGCTCAGAACAGCGGCGCAGGCTAGCGTTGTGTGCTGTCGCAGCACTGCTATGCAGGGAAGGAGGGTCTGTCGGTGTTAAGTGAGGAGACGAATCGTAATGGAAACCAGCGTCATTCATGTTTGACAAAGCCTGCCAATGCCATCCATCTACTTCGTATTATTTTATGTGGCCGGGTCACGCAAAATCTATTTAGACTCACCAAAAAGGCGCTATAAGACATTGTTCAAATGAAAAAACATTAAGAACGGCCCTATACCCAAACAGCTAGAAATAAAAACTACTTTCGAGCAGCGTAGCTGAAACAAATAAGCCACATGTGGCTTTCATCTCAGTGCTGCTCATAGCAGACAAGGTGCATCTCAAAGTTAATCATCCATGCATCGCCGGCAATATTGGATTTTTTTGCAGCAAATCATGTAAAATCATGCATCCACACTTGGATGTGCTGCGGCTGATGCCCGACGATGTCTGAGAGCGGTCGCTTTCTTCCTGACTGCGGCGATTGTCGTGGGGCTGGCAGCACAGGACACTGACAGCAGGCTGCCACCTGCCGCGCTCCTGACCCACCTTTTGGCAGTTCTCACCTGACCGGCGGGCGGCGGCCGAGCTCCGTCGGGCTGAGGGGACGCGTCTGGCCCGGCCGGCAGCTCGCCCCGCCGTGCCGACCCTGTCGGCCGCCCACCTGTCCCCGGCGCTGGCCACGCCACACTGATTTACCCCCATCAGCGTGCCGCCGCGCGGTCATCCTATCAATTTCACACAAATCGGCCCAATTATGAGCCATCGGGCGCGCGTGCCCAGCTCGCCGCTTTACGATCTGGGAGCGCCACCGAGCCGTGGCGGCGGGGCGCGGGCCTCCTCTGCCCTCGGACCACGCGTCCCGGCGGGGCTGCGCCGAAGGGTCGCCTGGCGCCTGGTGCTGGCGTTCTGTATCCTCGGCAGCGTCGGCAGGCGAGGGAGCCGTGCAATACACACGATAAAACACCTGAGGTGGGAATCGAACCGGCGATGGACTGGTTGTGCGTGTGGGTGATCCGTGCCTGTGCCTGTCTTCATCTGGTGGGGGCCTGATGTGGGGTCGTGGCAGTATGGTCAGGGCGTGAGTCGCGTTATTTTGGTCAGGGCGCGGGGTCGTGGTGGTTTGGTCAGGGTGTGGAGTCTTGGTAGTTTGGCCAGGGCGTGGGGTCGTGCAGCGGGCTCTCAATCTGAACAGGCAGTGCCCATAACGGAATATTATCGTGTTCACCCGCTGTGGATGCTTGGGATCTCGGTGTGTCCGACTGCTTTCCAGTGTTGAATCTCGGTCCTTCCACGTAGCTATGTGTGTCCTGAGGGACGGACCTCCAGCACTGCTAATTTTCCCTATGTGTCAGTGCTCTCCTTTCCCCTCCTGTCCATGTCTCCGTCCCTGTTCCTCAGTCTCAATCCGTCCTTCCGTTCAAATCATTTTCTTTCGTCCGCCCATTCGTTCATTCTTTTGCAAATGTGATCTTCTGTCAAATCCCCCCTCCCCCCACACACACGTCACTCGTTTGTTTTGTGCGGCGGGGTCCTCCGTTCGTCCGCTGTCCGTTTCGCGAGGCGGTCTCCCGTGCCGCCATGGCCACTGGCCCATGATGGGCGTGGTGTGGCCTGGAGCCCAGCCCTCGCTTTTTAAACCGCCCCATCAAGGGGCGGCCGTCGCCCATCGATAATCTGTTTGTTTGTTCTGCTGGACATCTGGCACAGGGTCACAGAACAGTGCGCGCGCAGATTGCCGAAACAAGCTGTGCCCAGCACCCATGTTACGCGGCTTAACGGCACGTCCGAGAGTCGTCAAAATCGGCACGTGGTGTGAGGGGGGGGGGGGGGGGGAGCGTGTCTCATGGACGAGGGGACGGTAGTTCAATGCTGCTGTCTCATTAGTTGGTTTAACGGTGGTAGAAGACGATTCGTGTCTCGGCTCTGTTTGGCCCCGTTTTGGTAACTTGTCGAGGTCGGTAGAATGGTTTGGACGATGCTTGCACCCCCTGGCAGCTGCAAATGCCATACAAAGGGCTACAGAAAAGGTGTCTCGCGCACCTTGATGGGACTTACAACTTTCGTTTATGTTGTGCTTGCTGTTGTGTTTGCTTCCTGCAGCACACAGCATCCAATGACAGCAAGCATACAATGATATGACAGGATAGCAAGCATGAACAAAAAGAGCAAGCATGATGACAATGATAACAAACAAACGATCGAGATGGGAGCGGACAGGGAGTGTGATAGCCGAGTGGTTAGCGCTTAGGACTCCCCCGTGGGGGCGCGGGTTCGAATCCCAGTTGGGCGATGGCCTCTGACGCCGATATGGCCGACATGAGGACAGACGTGATTGGTGTTTCCATGCAGATGATGCCAAGACATAAAGTAATCGAGCTCGGTGAGTTTAGTGGCCCGCATAAAGATGCTGCACTCATCCTCCGTGACATACTTTTTCATGAGTTCAACAGGCAGGTGAAAGTGCGCTAATGTTTAGCAATCGGGGGCATAGTTACAAACAGCGTTATTTAGTTAGCTGGCTGCAGGTCTTCCAAAGTGACAGTTCTTAATCGATATGCTGATAACGTGTGAAAAGTCAACGTTTGGCTTCTGTGGCTAACGTGTTGCGAAAAACGGTGATATTTTTGATAAGCACTCTTCAGAGTAAACTGGGCTATGCGCATATGTCGCCCATAGCCCATAAGTGTCTTAGCCCGTGAGTGTCATATGGGCAAGGTACGAAGCGGTTAGTTCGCATGACGCGAGCGGACCGTCTCCAGTTTAACCATCTACATGTGTGCACACTCGATGGTGCTAAAACTGACACCCAAGCTGGCTGGCTTGTCGCAATGTAAGTCATACCCTAGGTCCAAAAACATTTGCTCGAATAAGCTTGGATGTTCGTGAATACAGGAAAGTGCGAGCTATTTCGATTACGGATGCGTTCACACCGAAAGGAGAACATGCAAGCATTTTTGTGGTGATCGCTTCTGGTTATTTTAGGTTGTCTGACGCTTGGATTAGACCTTTTTATCGCACAATTTTTCCCGGTTTAGATTCGTGATGTACTAATGTCGGTAATTGATAAATAGGGCCATAACGGCCCATCGATCTTTCACTAGCACACCTCTGAGTGTGAGAGTCCAGAAATTGCATTAATGGTTCGTACGTTCGCTTGTATCGCGCCGCTGCTTCATGCCTTTGTCTGCCCTGGGTTCCGACATCTGATAAAATAATTAAAAAACAAAAAACGCGCATTTATAATTTGCGCACGGCTGCGCGTGAACATCTGCCGACATTAACGCCCAATTTTGTCAGAAGGGTAAACTTTATTCTCCTAGATCAGTTTTTGTCAGCCTTATCCTGTCCGATCGCTCCAGTGACAAGTGCTCCATCATGCTTGAGTCCAGTCCAGCCCATGCTTAGTGACCCATTCGTGCAACCCGTGTGAGCAGACAGCAATGGTAAGTTAACTTATTATGACCTGTAAACAGACCATAATGATCTATTCATAAAGACATTCAAGTATGCTAGACGCATGTCAAAAAACAGGTAACGTGATGATTACAAATGTGACGTGCAGTACATACTCGATAGCAGTCAAATTGGTATCCAACGTGGCCTGCTCGCCGCAGTATAACTCACTCCTTAAGTTCAAACGTCCGCTTGAAGAATTTTCCAAATTCGGCAACACAAAACAATTGTAATCAATAAGTCACTGCAAACCGTCCACAAAGATCACAGCATTTATTGCGCACCACGGCCATATAAGACTAGTATAAAGCCATGCAAGTTTATACGCTAGTCTTTCAAGCATACAACCAAAATTTATTGGGCTTCTGTCGTTCAAAAGAATGGCCAGCGTCACCAGACGGGAGATAGAAAAAGAAGTGAAAAAGACGGATATAGAAAAAACAGTGCACAAAGGCACGAGGAGCAAAGCAAAAAATCAAGCAAAGGCAAGAAAGTAGCGATGTTGGATGTTGGAAAGTATGGCGCCTTCATCACCAGCACAGCGTGACCAGCTGTGTAGTTATAGCCTGGGGCTATCTAGGCGCGCCCGGTCCGATGAAAAGGCCTGGGTTACCACGGACCTCTGCGTCGCTACGCCGTCTAGTCGCCGGGGTTTGAACCTGTTTGCAACCCGCATCTCAAACTTGTTCGCGATTCAGAACATTTTGCTTTTACCATGTTAATCAAGTGGTATGGGATTGTCAAGAAGTGGCAATATTGCAAAATGGCAAAAATTCGAGGCCTGACCAAAATGCATCCGTTTTAAATACGTGCATGCATTCCATGCCTTGTAGATATCATAAGACAACCTGAACAACATGCTGCTTACAAGAGCTGCATAAAAACTTCAGGGCGGTACAATCAGTGGTTGCCATGTGTGAGCGGAAAAAAGTCGTGATTACACGACGTTGAGACTATTATGGCATGCGGGCTTGTTCGCAACTAGTGCTACGCTGTCCTGTTGCCGCACATGCCTGCTATCTCTGTCATTTTGGACACAACCCGCGCGATCTAGGGCTTGCACCAAAGATCATTATTGTGAAATATGATACTGTCGTCTACGCTACGTTCCGAATGATCCACAACCATTGCTCTTGGAAACTTTTGATAGGCATGCATGACTAAAAAGGTGCTGAGGTTTTCCAGTCACAGATTTGTTTTTAAGCTGCTTTCGGCAACGAATAATTCCGCACCGAAAGGAGAAAATGCGTTTGAAAAGTTTTACTTCGGAGTGGTCGCTGCCGGCCATGTCAGGTTGTTTCTAATGCTTGGTCTGACAGACGGGTCTAATGTGTACGTTTTCGCAAGTAAAAACACTTTTCGCTTTCCCTGCCGCCTTTTTTGCAAGTCCACAGAGTGAAGTTGTTGCAAGCTAGAGCATGTTTGGGAACCCGAACAAAAAGATCCTATCGATGCAGTAGAGTGGTCTCGTTCATGGCTGCTGCGGTAGATCATGTCCCATGTTCTATGTCGAGACGGGCGCCTTCAACCGAGGAGACCCGAGGTCGCATAGTTGTCTGCTTGGCCCTACCTGACTCCAGCCATCATTCCAACACCGCTGGCTTATTACCACACCGTTTACCTACCTGTATATCCAGCCTTATGACGGGCCTATTAATCGCCACTACGATGCGTGCGCACATAACCGGCTGCGTAATACGGACACACATTCACCGGTGCATAAGCCTTTGAATAGAGAACGCCTAA